GCGCTCCGCTCCGCCGGCGCCCGCGCCTCGCCGCCGCTGCCGGCGCGCGCCGCGCCGCCGGCCGCCGCGTCGCCACCGCTGCCGCCGGGGTTGTGGACGAGCTCGGCGTTTAGGAGGACGTTGTTCGGGGTGAGGTCGCCGTGCACGATGTGCTTAGTGTGCAGGTGCTCCATGCCGCAGGCCACGTCAAAGGCAGTCGAGAGGATCTCGCGCTGCGGGGTGGGGCGGGGCGCGACGTGAGGCGGCGAGGGGCCGCAGAGGGCAAGACACAGGTCTGTCCAGAGGCCGCGGCAAGGCGGCGGCCAGCCGGCGCCGCTCTCCGCGGCTGGCTGGCACCGATGGGGCGCAGGCTGTGGCCGAAACAACGCAGGGGCCACCAGAGCCACCGAACCGGGCGTGCACGGCGTCAGGCGGCCTCTCCCGACCCCCTCCCATCGCCCAAGTGAGGTGAGGCGCTCCACCTCGCTGCGCACCACACCGTTCCCCTGCAGACACACACACACTAACACACACACACGCGCGCTCGCACCATGCGCGGCGCGTGGTGCTCTGAGTCCCAGTACACGCTCCTGCCGTCCACTGCCTGCCTAAGGGAGCCCGCGTTGCAAAATTCCTGCACGAGAAACAGCTTCCTGGGGGTTTCAAGACGCGGGCAGCAGCGAAACAGGGCGTGGGTGGTAAGGGCCGGGTGAGGTGTGGACGCAAGGCATGGGGGCTGGGGGCGGCATGGGGGGTGGGGCGGACGGGCCTGCATCGTGCTGCGCTGCGTCGCGGGCATGGGCGGCGGCCCTGGGCTGTCGGCTGGCGCGGGGGCCTCGCCGCGACGGGCCGCGGGCACGCCCGAGGCTGAGGGGTAAGCCGCCACGGCGCGTGCGCCGGCGCCGGCGCGGGGCGTGTCGGAATGGCCCAGCAGGCTCGAGACGCGGCGCGGAGGCCGCGGGCAGGAGGCGCTCGGCCCTCGACAGGCCCCCTGCCCGGCTGCAACCGCGGCGCCGTGTTCTGCAAGCACGTGCCTGCCCCGCCCTCGAGCGCCGCATAACCCTCGTCTCTGCACCCCTCGCGCCCCCACCCCCAGCTCCCTGGAAGCCCACCAGTCGGTGACCTGCCCGGCCACGCCCCCCGCCTGCTGCAGGCTGAGGTTCCCGGTGTGCATCTGGGCGCCCGGCGACTGTAGCGGCTGCAGGTCGTACGACAGCGTGGCCACCACGTTGGGGTGGCTGATGCTGCTGGTGATCGCTGCCTCTGTGATCGCGCGCTTCTGGGCCTTCTCGCTGCCGCAGGCGCGGTCCTGGAAGACGACCGTCTTGACCGCGACAGGCAGGTTGCGCCACGTGCCGCGGTAGACAGTTCCTGCGGGACGGGAGCGGCGCCGAGCCGTTGGATCGCGCACCCCGGCGCGCCGCGCCCGCCGCTCTGGCCCCTGCTTCGGCGCGCTCGACGCCTGGCGCGGAGCGCGCCTTGCGGCCGCGTCCCCGCCCCCAGATCGCCCCAGATCGCGCCGGATCGCGCCAGATCGCGCCGGATCTCACCATACGCGCCCTGTCCGAGGACCTCGTGTATGATCAGGCTCTTGTCGTCAATCTCGCGGTTCAGCTCCGCCACAGCCGCGTGCAGCTGCCCCAGCGCCGTGTCTCGCGCGCCCATGCCGCCGCCGGCGTCGCCGTTCCCAAGGCCGCCGGCCGAGGAGGCCGATTGGGACGACGCCGCGCCGGCCTGCCGGCGCGTGACGGGGCGGGAAGGAGGGGTTGCAGATTGCATGGCGCGGATGATCGCGGGCGCAAGCCGAGGCCGCAGTGGGAGGCGCCCGCGCTGACGGCACCGGGCCAGTGCACAGCCCTGTTGTGTCATGCCGCGCCTCCCAGTCGGCCGTCGTGGCCGCGAGCCCCGGCCCCCTCTACCCACTCAACCACCCGCCACCCAAAGCGGCCGGCCCCCCACTGCGCGTGCTCGTCCCTGACCCCGCCCCTGGCCCCTGCACCGGCCCCGCCCCGCGGCTACCCTGCCACGCACCGACTTCGCAAGGCTCTTCCTGGACGCCGCCGTCGCGCGCCCTGTGCCCGTGCCCGCGCCCCCGGCTCGCCCCTCCTCCATCCCCACGTCCGCCTCCACGCCGCCCGAGCTGCTGCCGCCGGCCGGTAGCAGCACCGTCAGCAGCCCGCCGCCGCGCTGCGAGGGCGGCGCCTTTGAGGACGCCGGCCCCAGGGCGCCTGAGCCGTCCGCGAGCGCGAAGCCGCTGCCGGGGCCTTTGCCGGCGTCGAAGCCGGGCGGGGGCATGAGGTCGCCCATCAGGCAGTGGCCCAGGCGCCGCGGCCCCGCGACCACGATGAGCAGGAGGATTATAAACAGCACAGCGCCGAAAACGATGATGACCACCGCCCAGCCGGGCAGCGAGCCGCTGGGCGGCGCGGCCGGCGCGCGGGCCTCGGCCGCGGCCGCGGCCTCTGCGGCCGCGGCCGCCGCGGCGGACGCGCTCAGCGCGGGGTTGCCTGCGGCAGGGGCGGGCGGCGCGAGGC